AAAAAACCAACGCCAGGGTCCCTCCCTGAAATAGAAAAATCATCAAGCTTTAATGTTATCGGACCTTACCGGACCTTATTCGGGCGGTGATTGCGTGACCGCTAAGCCCTCTAGCGCCCACGTAATGTCTGACCAAAGAAAGTCCGATGAACTATGAAGTATATATGTGACACGAAATCAACGCAATCATTGGAAAATTTTGCACTGGAAATATTTTGCGCTGGTCTTTTTATGCCATGCAGTGGTCATATAACTGTAAACTGTGCCTATTATTCACTATTCAGTGATACAAATTGTCATATAGTGGTTTACTTGTCCCAGAATATATCTTATTAGTTTAAGGGACTATCACATTTACCCACGTGCGAACTTACATTTATGAGGCGAAAGGCACAAATATTTGGAAAGTCTCCCTGAACACAGGCGTCTGTTTTAACCACAAATTCTGAATGTGTTTTGTTCGACATATTATCACTTCTGAAACATCAATAATTGGAAGTTCTCATCGTTAATGCATTTATGGAATTAAAGGTCCCTAACAAGGGTCCTTTTAAAGCGACCCTTCAGCGACCATTAAGAGACCATCAATAAATTTCCAAGTTCCAAAAAAACTTAATATTTAAAGTTTTGTTTGGACCGTACTGAATTCTATATTGTATAAATCATTTGACCAAAACCCATAATTGGGTAGAGTGGATCGCTGCCGCCTGCCAGTGTCCCTTTCCCAACCTAAAGTAAATGTTATTAATTTGAATGACCGCAAAATGATAACGAGAATGAAATCGGTCGCTGGCTTTACGCCAGCATTGTTATAATTCCGTATAACACTAACAGTGCTGACTGCTGGCGCGTATTTTACGCAAATTTCTCGAGCGTGCTAAATCACTCTACAGTCGATCTTGAAGATTTTTCTAAAAGGGCCCCCGACAGTTGAAACCAACTTAAATCGATGTATTTTCAGACGCTGGTTGGGGCCAGGGATTGGGTTAGGGTCAGGGTTGGGATCAGATAAGACTAAGAGGTTAGAAATAGAGGGTTAGGGTTTCGAATAGTCGTTCAGGGCCAGCTAGAGAACGGGTTGAAAAAGTCACGTGACAGTCGAGTCTAGAGTGCTGAGTGATTAATCATCATCCCAAATTTCTTAAAAACCTCCACATAACTATTTCTTATTCCTTTCATCTTTGAAATGAAATGAAATGAAATGAGGTATTTATATCCCGCTCATATGATTAACCAACAACACAAGGAAGGTGGTTAACCATGTCAGAGCGGCTGACTGTAAGTGATGTGAGCAAATGTGTAAACGTGAACAAAGTATAACTCATCATAAGGCAAAGACAAAATTAAAACATCTTTTATTGTAAACCACACTAAACTAAATAGAAGCAGAAACCATACAATACATGTAGGTATAATAAAGGTACAGTGACATAATCAATCGAGAAAGAGACAGATCCTAGAAAGTTAGACATCAAGACATAAAATGGAGTGCGGTAAAAAATAAAAGCCAACGTGTCTTGCAAAGTGAAGACAATGGAAAGAAAAAACATCAGAACTGATTATATAAATGATTCTTTAACATTCGCTTGAAACAGTTGGTATCAGTAATACTTCTCAACATCAGCGGAAGAGAGTTCCATGCAACCGTTGCATGGCTTGAATTGTCTGTCATCAACTTTGGACCTTTTATTCTTTGGTATCTTGAGCATGAGATGGTCATCCGGTCTTTTCGACCTGGTCACAGTGTTTGAGAGTTCTGTATCCACTACATCCAAATCCAGTAATGCTTTGAGGTAACCAGGTGCAGTACCGTGAACTGATTTTTGGGTTAAGAGACAAACTTTAAAGAAGATTCGCTGGTCTATAGGGAGTATGTGGGCCTTCTTATAGAAGGGAACCAAGTCAAATTAGAAATTGACATTGAATTAGAATATTTTGAACTTAAAATATGCCTGCTAGCTGAACGACATTCGATAGGTCTTAATCAAGGCCGTAAATTCGACAAATATTCGTCAAAAAATACGGCGCATTTAGAGTTCTCAAAAAATACGCAAATAATTCGCCAATTTACTACTTCAGGTTTTAATTTTTAGGGCTGTTAAATTCGCCTAGAAATGCGCAGAAAATTCGGTAAAAATGCGGCTGTGGGATAGCGCAGCATAATTGCAGCATTCTCGAGTCTATAATCTATAATCTAGTTGGATATGTGACGTTATACTTCAAGTCTCGAACTTAAAAATCTCGACAAGTAGACTGTGGAGGAAATTAAGTGATTTCAAGTTTATTAGTATTACTATTACTCCATAATGTCTTCCGGTATGAGCTAAATTTAACCCCTTGCGATCTTGGTCAGTACCCACGCTAGTCGCTAACCAGTAACCACGAACGTGTTGCGGGAAGCACATGTTATACTTATGTGTTTTGGCAATATTCCACCACAAAAAACCAACTTTGAACTATCGTGAAACAACTACTGTATTTTTTTAAATGCTGCAATTTCAGAAAAAAAAATCGTATGCAAATTTAATTCGAATAATACGTTTAGTGCGAATTTCACAGCACTGTGCATTGGTCTTAATGCCTGGAAAAAAACAGTAAAGGGGGTATATTATACCGTATAATAGTATAGCCCGGAGTAAATAGTATTAGTGAGTATAACTATAATGGCGGCGGTCGTGCTTGCCAGCACTGTGATAGTAACCAAGAAAAATAAGTCATTATAATAATAATATGATGATGATGTCCACTATCATCATCATATTAGATGATGATGGAGTACATGAGTATGATAAGTGAGAAAGGTGCTTACACGAGAGCAACAAATCTAACTGTTCGAAGCCATAGATTTTTGTAGGAACTCTGGCAACGATGATCTAGTTGGAGTAGTACTCCTGTACTCCATCTGAAATGTTGTACAATACAGTATACTTGTGTAAAATGTGGCGCTCATCTCAAACTCCCAAATCTCTCTCTCTCTCTCTCTCTCTCTCTCTCTCTCTCTCTCTCTCTCTCTCTCTCTCTCTCTCTCTCTCTCTCTCTCTCTCTCTCTCTCTCTCTCTCTCTCTCTCTCTCTCTCTCTCTCTCTCTCTCTCTCTCTCTCTCTCTCTATATATCTCTCTCTCTCTCTCTCTATATATATATATATATCTCTCTCTCTCTCTCTCTCTCTCTCTCTTTCTCTCTTAATTAATACTTACACTAGTTTCCTCGTTTGTGAACATCGTCACCATGAACCAGCAGCATGAAAGGAGACCTGAGGTAACCACACGGCTACACAGATTCCTATACAAGCCCACTTCGTGAAAAAAGTTCTGTGCATAAAGATGGCCACCACACGGTCAAATGTCAGAGCTACCATACAAGGACAGTTCGAATATATATAATAAATAAATATATATATAATAGCTGATTGATAGTTAATTTTTGGGAAGCTGATTTGTGATTGATTTGATATTGTAATTGAGGTTGTAGGTTTACAACCTACTATATTATATGGAACAGATATTTTACTAGTATCACCCGTTAAAATTGAGGCAACATAATATATCAAATTTATTGGAGCCATTCCCAGAAAACCTTACCGTTAGGGGCCTAACTTCGGAAGTAAATATTAAAGAGAAAGAAAGTTTTGGTTTTCAACAAAATGTTTGACCATTGTTAATGATCAGGCCCGGCGCGCGCTACTTCGTAGCTCTTGCTACTTCGTAGCTCTTGCCATCGGGCATTTCGAGAAGAAAGCGGCGCGCGCTACTTCGAAGAAATTTAGACGAGTAACATCCGTCAACAAAATGTCCGTCTCGTTAAACTAAAGTTAGCTCCCCAGTTGACGGATGTTACTCGTCTAAATTTCTTCGAAGTAGCGCGCGCCGCTTTCTTCTCGACGGCACGAGCTACGAAGTAGCGCGCGCCGGGCCAGAGCATTAACAATGGTCAAGCTCCCCAGGAGCACAATTTGGGACAACGTAAATTTTGAATTATCCTGAAAAGTATGATTTTGAGCCAAATTAAATATCGCAGCTTTTTAACTTTGCAAAATAATGTTGTTGTTATGACTCCAGATTGCAGATTGTAATTCACCATTCACGCGTGCGATCAGTGAACATGACGTCACGCGCGCGCTGACACACGTGCTATTGAAAAACAACCACCTCTAGCTAGTAACACAGCCATCCGGTAAGTTTTGCTGGGTTGTCGATTGTTAATGGACTAATCCGGCGCACGCTATATCTACTTGGTAGCACTTGCAGGCAGTAATTGCCTCGAGCTTATATGTAATATTTCGAGAAGAAAGCGGCCCGCGCGCGCTACTTAGAAGAAATTTAGACGAGTAACATCCGTCAAACATGTACATGATAAAATGTATCATGATATATATATATTTGAGACATTCAGTGAAACAGTAAAACACGAAATTCACATTAAGCTATCGATTGTGTAATCTTTACATGTCGCATTCTGAAAGCAAGTTTATTAAAATAACTGTTCTATGAAGTAAATTAAAAACATGACAAAAATAGATCAATACTGAAATTGGCTAATCTCCTCTGAATTGAATACAAATAACACACGTTATTGCCGACGTTTCGCCCCCATGGCTTCTTCAAGGCGGAACAAAAACTTTGTTACATAGTGACCTGGTAAATATCAAAATTAATACATAAAACTCTGAGAAACATTAAAAATAAATGGAAAGATTCTAAGCGGTAGAAAATTTTTAAAGCAAAAGATAGATGTTAGGCCAAAGAATCTAGAACTGTCCAATATTTGAGAGCTAGACCAACGTACACAGAGCAGCAACGAAAATAGCTTCCTACTCCCTAACATTTTCGGGGAAACTGAAAGGGTGCCACGTACATATATTATGATGACATTTACATAATAGCCCATGTGGTCTTTTGCCACGAGTCTGCTTCAGGTGAGAGCTGAGTGTTTATTTTAGGAAGTAACTGCTTGATATACAGTGATTGCCAGATCATTCGGTCTGCATAATCCTTACATACTTTGAGGACTTCAAATTTAAATGGTTCGATAGGAATTTCTTTTATTTCAGGGTGTGACATGAGGTAATGTTTCCCCATGGCTGTCTTGTTATTTTTATTCCTTACAGATTTTAGGTGTTCCCAGCATCTGTTGCGTTTGAACCTGCCTGTTTCACCACAGTACTTTGCATTGCAGATATTGCATGTCAGTTTGTACGCTATGTTCTTCTGCATACATAGATCATCACAATCATAGCACTTTGAAGCACTCTGTTTGTTACATGGTGTAGGGTGTAGTGCTGATCTAGTGAGTATTTCTCCCAGTTTCTTGTCCGGATAAAATGATACTTTGGTTTTGTCCAATAGATCATTTTGACGTAGAATCTGATATACTTTCCGTTTGTGGTATTCATTAACATATGGGAGGCTTAGGTACTGTGTGATTCTCAGTCGTGTCTGGTTAGGTGGTTTATCTTTGTTTATTTCCCTCGTCAACCTCTCTATAACACTGGGTGTAAAATCGTTGGAGAGTAACATGTCTTTGATTTTATCTACACCACGTTGTTTGAATTCGTCTGTAGACCCATTTCTCACTGCTCTTAACAACTCGTTCCTAGCACTATTCATAATAGTACTTCTCGGATGTCCAGAGTTGTAGTTGAGGAATATGCCCAAACTTGTCGGTTTTATAAAGAGTTCGAATTGTGGTTTATCTGAGTTCTCTTGCAAGTGGATAGTGAGATCTAAGAAGTCTATTTGTTTAGGGTTAGCTTCATATGTGAACTGAATTTTCGGGTTAAGCGTGTTAACATACTTAAAGAGTTGACTGACGTCATTTTCTGTTCCTTCCCCTATAGTGATACAGTCATCAACATACCTGTTCCAGCAATACACAGGCATGAGATTTGATGGTCTATCTCCTGGTTCAGCTTCACTGTATGTGAAATCTTGTTCCAGTAATGGTTTCTCTACTGTCAAGTATACGTATATGATGGCAAATGGTGGGGCTGGTTTTACTCCCATCCCTAGTCCTTCCGTTTGTCTATAGTATTGTTCATCAAATCTAAAATATGCAGACTGAGTCACGGTTTTCAGCATAGTGACAAAGTCAAGGTGTTCTATCCCAAGCATATCGATTTTATCCCTGTGATGTTTGATAAAGTCTGAGACCACTTTGACTCCATGTTCCAGTGGGATGTTGGTGTATAGGCTCTTCACATCGGCTGTTATGAGCATGTGATTGGAGTTTATTGAGCATTGTTGCAGTCGCTGTCGGGCCTCAGTGGAGTCTTTGAGGTGAACAGGTACATACTGAAGGGCTTGTTTCAAGATGTGGTTGGTAGCATGTCCAAGTCTCTCTCCTGGTGAGTCAACTTGTGATGTTACTGGTCGTAGTGGGGGTGGATTGATTTTCTTGTGTGTCTTGTATGTACCATAAAACTCAGGTAATCTTGGACAATAAGGTTCAACTCCTTCTAGTTTAGGGTATTTCTCTATCAGGTGTTCACATAAAAGTTCGATATCACTTATCATTGCTGGGAGCGGGTTTTTAACTACCTTTTGGTATGTGGAGGTATCTTCAAGCATTTCTTTCGCGTGCTCTTTGTACACATCTGTAGGCACGACTACGAATTGCTTGTCCTTGTCCGACTGCTTTATTATTAGGTTTTTATTCTTCTTCAGCTCCTTAAGTGCCTTGTCTTCATCTTCAGTGATGTTAGTCTGTTGTGGATTAGACCGCTGATGTTGTTTATACACATTCAGTATCTGAACTTTTGTGTCTCTTAGTTTCGTCTCAGTTTTTGGGTGACGCGGAGGAGGTTGGGATTTACGCTTTTCAGGGTTCCTCAGATCCAGGGGTGTGGCCGTCTTATCAGTGTCTGGTAGTGGTAAGAATGGGGCCCATCTCACTGCATATGCATAACGTTCCAACCCTACTTCTGCTTCCTCAAGTTTTCTCTTAAGTCCCGATTTACTGTTGTCTAGCACTGCAAATTTTGGGCCTTTAGATAGTAGTGAAACAGCTGGTTCTTCTAGTTCGACATTGCCAATATTGTATGTTACCCTGGGTTTGTTCTTAATGATCAGTGGTTCTTTTTCAGTTATATTTGCTGACAGTTTGTTTAGTTTGCTTTGCAGGGTGTGTTTCTTGTCTCTATCATGGACGGCTTTGATTTGGTGCCCATATAGTTCTACGAGGTCGAGGGCTTCGTTCTTAGCTCTGTGGTCACTCCGCAGACGATCAGGTTGGTTTCTGAAGTAGTCCAACTGTTCATTGTAAGTGGAGGTGATGTGAGCTATTTTTCGGAAAGCATCTCGTATAGCCAAGGGCAAAGCGTCATATATACGCTACAAACTCAATAGATCAATACTGAGATGGGAAATTTGTGAGTAAGTCTCATTCAATCATAAGGTATAAACAAAAGATGCAGAGGTGAAAGTAAACATCAAAATGCAAGTGTCTGTGGAAAGATATATATATATATATATATATATATATATATATATATATATATATATATATATATAAATATATAAATATCCATAGACACAGTGTTTCGTCCTATTAGGACTCATCAGTATGGCTCAAATCATCAAGGTTGGTTTTGCCGATGGCGGGTATTGAACTAGCAACCTTATATACATAATATAAATATAATTGCAGATAATGCAAATGCGCGTTTGTAGGTTTACAACCTACCAGGACGCGCGCCGAGTTGGACAGATGGAGTATGGAACAGATATTTTACGAGTACCACCCGTTAAATGCGCGTCGAAGCGGCGACGCGACGTTTTGATCCAAATAAATAGTTGAATTCACAGTAGTATAGTGTCATGGTTTGGAGCCCCGTTTGAGCTCTATCCGAGACACATTTTAATAAAATGTCATTTTAGCACAGTTGACTAATCTGCCACATTTTAGCCGGAGGTTACAAGTTCGAATCCCAATCGGAGTCGTTCTCCAATGTGGTTATATTATTATTTTACACATTTTAGCCTAGTTTAACCCATCAAGCAATTATCTAACCCTACATTATGCGATACAAAGTATCAACTAAATACATTTATCACACAGCAGAAGTCGTTAAATGAATAGTGTACACGTTCACATACAATTACATCAGTTTTCTATCGACATTATTAACATCTGGTTCAAGGCGACCTCTGCAGTACAATGTATTGATAAAGGGATATAGTGACTTATGTGCTAGCTAAATTTAACTAGAGTGTACAGTTTAGGACAACACCTGGTTGATATGGTAACGTAATGAGAAAGCACTTTTCAGGACGGTTACTCAATAGTACCAAGATTGTACCGTCATTGTAAAGTAAAGTTACGGCAACAGCTGTGTTTGTACTTGACAGATATTTGCTTAATTTAAGAACCAAATAAAACTAAAGTGAATTGATAAAAATGTGACTTTCTTAAAAGAAATACGTGTCAACAAAATGTAGAAGCTGATAAATATATAGTGTCAAGTGTACTCGATCACGTATTACACTGACTGTTTGATATGAAATGTAATTTATAGAGAGTACTTACAGGACGGTTACTTTACAGCCTCAAGAATCATATGTTATTGTATAATAGCCATAGACCTAACTTACAGAATAGTCACGGTAGCAGCTGTGCAATGTATTTGACTAAAATCTCTTGTCAGGACTGGTCTAGATATTTTATATTTTCTACAATTATATCAGTAGATCTCAACAAATTAAACAGTGTGCGAGGAATTTTTAAATATAATAACCAATGAAAGATAGTGTTAATTCTTACCTCAATTAGTGGACCGTCCCTTTACATTAGAACTCAGTGTTTGTCTTTGTTAAATATCTTGATAAGGTATAATTACGAACATGTGCGTGTTTTACTGGACAGTCTCTATCTTCTTCATATCTTGAGGTCTTAGCTTTAGGTAAGTTACAACTGGATCAAAGTTGTTTTGTTTAATTTTATGCTCAAGGTTCGCACTATTCTGCTTTGTTATATTTGAGTTGTCGTATATCAGCATAGTATTTTAGTACAATATTGTAGAAATCATACCCGTAAATATTTGCTCGGTATCTGGCAGCAGTTCATCGATTTATGTTCCGTGTTCTGTTTCCTGGTATTTTGTGAGCGGAATATTTTCTTGAGTAGGATAAAATGAAATCCGTCACCTTATCTTACACAATACTGAATACTGAATGAATACTGAATACTGAATGAATACTGAATGAATACTGAATGAATACTGAATGAATACTGAATGAATACTGAATACTGAATGAATACTGAATGAATACTGAATACTGAATGAATACTGAATACTGAATGAATACTGAATACTGAATGAATACTGAATGAATATTGAATACTGAATGAATACTGAATGAATACTGAATGAATACTGGATGAATACTGAATGAATACTGAATGAATACTGAATGAATACTGAATGAATACTGAATACTGAATGAATACTGAATGAATACTGAATGAATACTGAATGAATACTGAATACTGAATGAATACTGAATGAATACTGAATGAATAATGAATGAATACTGAATGAATGCTGAATGAATGTTGAATAATGAATACTGAATAATACTGAATAATATACTGAATACTGAATGATATTTATGATCTATTATTTTTAAAGTTATAATGTATAATGTAGACAAGGAAACACACGTTTAGATTTTTGAAGATAACTTTAACTAAACTATATTCAATAACTCTATATATCCAAATACTTATCTCAATAATTATCAACGTTTTGGTTATAAAATTCAAAAATCTTCCTGACGATATATTTGTGAAAGTTTAAGAAGCTTGATGATAATATTTTTGTTCTCGTTCATTAGTTTGTTGACATCAGATAGACTAGTAGTCGTGTTAACTCCAGTCAAAAGGCTAAAATTTTGACTCTATCCAGCGCAAATACACCCATTTTTCAGTGCTTTTATCTATTTTTAGTAACACTAATGCTTTAACACCTAATAACATCTGCGGTAATTTCTTAACTTACAGCACAAGAATTCTTAGTTGCAGACGTATTTGAAACAGGTGTGCAGTTTGCACTGAGTTCATGTCGTAACTTGAGTAGACATATATAATAGTGTTACTAAAAATAGATTAAAGCACTGAAAAATGGGTGTATTTGCGCTAGATAGAGTCAAAATTTTAGCCTTTTGAACGAGAACAAAAATATTATCATCAAGCTTCTTAAACTTTCACAAATATATCGTCAGGAAGATTTTTGAATTTTATAACCAAAACGTTGATAATTATTGAGATAAGTATTTGGATATATAGAGTTATTGAATATAGTTTAGTTAAAGTTATCTTCAAAAATCTAAACGTGTGTTTCCTTGTCTACATTATACATTATAACTTTAAAAATAATAGATCATAAATATCATTCAGTATTCAGTATATTATTCAGTATTATTCAGTATTCATTATTCAACATTCATTCAGCATTCATTCAGTATTCATTCATTATTTATTCAGTATTCATTCAGTATTCATTCAGTATTCAGTATTCATTCAGTATTCATTCAGTATTCATTCAGTATTCATTCAGTATTCAGTATTCATTCAGTATTCATTCAGTATTCATTCAGTATTCATTCAGTATTCATTCAGTATTCATTCAGTATTCATTCAGTATTCATTCAGTATTCAATATTCATTCAGTATTCATTCAGTATTCAGTATTCACTCAGTATTCAGTATTCATTCAGTATTCAGTATTCATTCAGTATTCATTCAGTATTCAGTATTCATTCAGTATTCATTCAGTATTCATTCAGTATTCAGTATTCAGTATTCATTCAGTATTCAGTATTGTGTAAGATAAGGTGACGGATTTCATTTTATCCTACTCAAGAAAATATTCCGCTCACAAAATACCAGGAAACAGAACACGGAACATAAATCGATGAACTGCTGCCAGATACCGAGCAAATATTTACGGGTATGATTTCTACAATATTGTACTAAAATACTATGCTGATATACGACAACTCAAATATAACAAAGCAGAATAGTGCGAACCTTGAGCATAAAATTAAACAAAACAACTTTGATCCAGTTGTAACTTACCTAAAGCTAAGACCTCAAGATATGAAGAAGATAGAGACTGTCCAGTAAAACACGCACATGTTCGTAATTATACCTTATCAAGATATTTAACAAAGACAAACACTGAGTTCTAATGTAAAGGGACGGTCCACTAATTGAGGTAAGAATTAACACTATCTTTCATTGGTTATTATATTTAAAAATTCCTCGCACACTGTTTAATTTGTTGAGATCTACTGATATAATTGTAGAAAATATAAAATATCTAGACCAGTCCTGACAAGAGATTTTAGTCAAATACATTGCACAGCTGCTACCGTGACTATTCTGTAAGTTAGGTCTATGGCTATTATACAATAACATATGATTCTTGAGGCTGTAAAGTAACCGTCCTGTAAGTACTCTCTATAAATTACATTTCATATCAAACAGTCAGTGTAATACGTGATCGAGTACACTTGACACTATATATTTATCAGCTTCTACATTTTGTTGACACGTATTTCTTTTAAGAAAGTCACATTTTTATCAATTCACTTTAGTTTTATTTGGTTCTTAAATTAAGCAAATATCTGTCAAGTACAAACACAGCTGTTGCCGTAACTTTACTTTACAATGACGGTACAATCTTGGTACTATTGAGTAACCGTCCTGAAAAGTGCTTTCTCATTACGTTACCATATCAACCAGGTGTTGTCCTAAACTGTACACTCTAGTTAAATTTAGCTAGCACATAAGTCACTATATCCCTTTATCAGTACATTGTACTGCAGAGGTCGCCTTGAACCAGATGTTAATAATGTCGATAGAAAACTGATGTAATTGTATGTGAACGTGTACACTATTCATTTAACGACTTCTGCTGTGTGATAATGTATTTAGTTGATACTTTGTATCGCATAATGTAGGGTTAGATAATTGCTTGATGGGTTAAACTAGGCTAAAATGTGTAAAATAATAATATAACCACATTGGAGAACGACTCCGACTGGGATTCGAACTTGTAACCTCCGGCTAAAATGTGGCAGATTAGTCAACTGTGCTAAAATGACATTTTATTAAAATGTGTCTCGGATAGAGCTCAAACGGGGCTCCAAACCATGACACTATACTACTATTCACAAGTACGAAGTAATAGTATTTACGTGTATCATCATAATGCATAAGCACCAAAGCACTACAACCCTTGCATCATTATATTATATCTTGATAGTTCAAACAATCATTAAATTGAATGAATATAACCCGCACCGTTAACAATCATCAGGATTTCGATTTTACGCCGCGCACTCGTCCTACGCATGAAAATTGAATCGACGATAGAAATCGAGCGCTATACGAATTATTATTCGCTTCTTACCTATTTTCTCAGGTCAATTTCAAAAATGTTTTGATTTGTTTATTGCAGAGTATTTCGTCATTGGTTCCGTCAAAAATTCTCACGATGCTGTAAATGCTATTTAAAATGCTTAGATCGCTTTTGAATTCATGCAGTGTGGTGCAATAACATACTATGTTAAACATAGATGTGCATTGTCCGAGGCGGCTATTGAGGGCGTCCAGGCGTCCGTGGACGCCTTTAAATTATTATCTGGTGGCTGGTGCTTAAAATAGAAATAGTAATTAGTAATAGTGTTAGGAAATAACAAATCGCAATATAAAGGTCTTCGTTTACTATCATACGTTTTAATGTAAGGGCACGCATGATCTTCGTGAAATTTTGTGTTGTAGGGAGTCCAATCCTACCTCTGGACTACTCAGCTGCGCAGTTTTAACACATAGTTAATTGTAAACGTTACAAAGCACATCGTGCGCATCCCACTACAGGTAATCTATTATGATTTGCCTCGATTTGGGGGTCCAGGACCCTTTGAACCATTGACTGTTGTGATACTGCGCGGCTGAGATCGTACACGTGTGGTGTCCTGTTTCACCCATGATATAAGTTTTTGTTTTTGTTTGCTGTCGCCTGTAAAGTGTTACACATTACATTTACAAGGCCCTGTGTGTAATGTAATCGGTAGTTTGGAGGGATCAGCTTGAGCCGGCTCCCAAGCCCCCCTCCCCCCAGTCCATCGATTGGACCCCCAACAAAACTGCCAGCCAGCTCCCACGAGCCGCCTCTGTGCATTGTGCAATTAACAATTAAATGGAGTAAAGATAGTTACAGTTATTATCTAGTCACCAATAATCTCAATCAATAATATTAACTTGTCATGTCTAATTTTCAATTAAACTAAGCTCAGTTAATGTAAGAGCCGCTTTAGAAAGCACTGGAGTTTATCTCCAGGATTAAATTATATCGAGTTATATGATTTAGCTATAAGGCGGTTTATAAATGTTGTATTTATTTATTTAATGTTATGTATGAGCTTCGTCAGATTCAGGGCTGTAAATCTGCAATTCACTTAAGTTTCCTGACTACCAATTCATGGGCTTGACGGAGGAAAGCCAATTTTTGTCTGACTGTTTAACAGCATAGCAAACCTCTGTCTCATTTGTTAATGATCTTATAAATCCTACAAGCTATATATAATGTGAAATATCGAAGAGTGTCTCAACAAATGTCAGCTTATGTTTCATGAAATGTAACCACCAATGGTTTATGATTGAATTTGTACACCATTTGTATCACCTTTATTCTAGCTGTTTGATGTGTGACTTCAGGGGAAAAGCAAGATATTGATACATTGTTCAATTACTTTTACTTTCAGGTGATCATGGCAAAATTAGGAGAACTGGTCGAGAAGATCAACCTCAGGAAATATCCACCTTTCCAATACTTCACGATGATGGTAATTTCCTTGACACTACTAACCAATGGTGGTGTTCCTCTGTTTCTTACGTTTCTCACTTCAACAAAAGGCTGGCAGTGTCTCACCGACCAATGTGACCCAGAGAAAAATCTTTGTGAACAAACAAACTTAACAGATGCTGATTGGTACTCCCCAGCATCTAAAGCAACAGACAAATTTCTGAAGAGTTATAAAGTTTACTGTGGTTATGAGGGCTATTTCAGCATCATAAGCAGCAGCTACTTCTTTGGTTTTATGATTGGAATACTAATTGGTGGCAAAGTTATGGACAAGTTTGGCAGGCACAAATGTATATGGATTGGGATATTTGTATATTGCTTCACTGTACTGATGCATGCTGGAAGTAAAACTGACTTCAGAGTATTTGGGGTGGCCCATGCCCTGACAGGGTTTATGTCAGGGTTCATTGGAGCAATATATGTGTACCAATCAGAGCTCACTATTGGCCGCTTGCGCAACCTTGGTTGTCAGATACACAACGAAACATTCTCCATTGGCATGTTATATGGGGCTATGCTCTCTTATTACATCGAGAACTTTGCACTCATTTGTATTCTTTTAATTGTGCCTGGCCTGTTTTTTGGTTTGATAATCGCTGTCTGGATTCCAGAAAGCCCGCTGTGGTTACAAGTCAATAATAGGGAGGAAGAAACTAAGAAAACCCTCTCGTATATCGCAAAGTTTAACAACATTAAGTTTCTGTTAGAAGAGAAAATAGACCCTATAGAGACTAAGGCTGATGACACTGTAAGTGCTTTGTTTAGTTTCTCAAAATCCACCAGGAGGACAACAATAATATTCTTGTTCTCGTGGCTGACTGCTTCGTTCTGTTACTGGGGGCTTAGCTTCAATGTGGGGGATCTCATTGGAAATCTTTACATGAACCAGGTTATCATTTGTATCATTGATTTGGTAAATCGCCCTATAAATTATTATGGTGTGAAGCGAATGAAGAGAGTTTCTTTTCTGCGTGCTTGCAATGTTGGTATGGTGGTGTCAGCTGTCTTCTGTATGATTCCATATAAAAAGGAAATATTCCCTGGCTTTAACATCACGAAAATATCAGCCCTCGCAGGCAGAATGATAGCTGATCTATACTTCACAACCATCTACTTGTACACTTCAGAAGTTCTACCGACCAATGTTCGTGGCAGTGGTCTTGCTATTTGTTCCAGCACTGCTAGAATTGGCAGTATCATGGCCCCCTTTGTGATTGTGGCCAATAAAGTCAGTCCTGATATCAACTTTACTGCCATCCTTGTGTCTTCTTTCATGTGTTTTGTTATGTACCGCTGGATGCCGGAGACTCACGGTAAATTACTACCGGGGACTCTGTCAGAGATGAAAGATTTGGTGGAGGGCAAGGTTAAGTCTAACATTATTGAGATGAGAGCTGGGGATCATGTTAGATTATTGGACAGTGAGTCAGATGATGATGAGAGCCATTTTGCTGTTAGTCAAGCATAGATTTGTGTTATTTTAACAATCTGAGGTATGTTTTATTTGAAATATTTGTCATTTTTCAGAGCCAGAAATGCAAGACTGATTTCTTTCTTTTCTTTTCTTCAGTTTAATTGCTTTTAATTGCTTTTAGTTGCATCCAATTTTCACTAATTTGTTTGAATATTTTGAAAAGCTGTTAATTAATTAAAACTTGTAAATATAACAATTTAACCACCAGTAATATTTCTTTCTTTCTTATATCACTGTTAGCTATATAATCATGATTTAGCTTACATATTTGCTTAAGTAAATAAAGAAAAATGTTTTAGCTGTACAGCTTGTTCAATTGCGAAAATTTCATTGTGTTGCAGGAGCTGCAGTCAGTAGTTCTCCAGTGGAATGGTCCTCACTCTTCCTATCAAATAAATCATGAGGAATAATGCTATCGCAAATTTGTGTCTGAAGATTGTTCAATTTTCTGAAAACGAGGCTTCCTCAAAAGTCAAATGAGTTTGTAAACCATAAAATATACGTTAATGATGAATAATAAGTGTATATAATAATATTGGAGGATGACTTCAAGACTAATCTTCATTAAAACCCCAGCAATACTATAAATCCAATCAGGTGATCCTATTGGGCCTATTGTTGCATAAGATAAATTAGGGTATTTTGGGTCGCAATCTTTTATAACTACACTATACAGCTAAGAGAACCACTTTTACATTATATTGCTATTATATTATTGTTATATAATGGACGCACTCCATGCTATACCGTGAACTCTAAGTTTAACATACATTTTGAGAACTTTAATCAGTAACTTGAACCTTCTGTTAGATTTGATAGTAGGTGGGCCAAAATGATCTATATTAGTCGAGACTAAATTGTAGATGTAGAACATATTGTAGGACTTTTATTGTCAAAGTTAAGTATGGCTTGATCCCTGGTAAGAAATAAAGAAATGTACCATATATACATAATGTAACATATACATAACAATATACATTTGTTGGTTGATACACTTTAAAAGAAATCATGTATAAAAATGTACATCAAACAATCTGAGACTGACATTTATATTTTATAAGGGGTCGTTCACATATTACGTAATCAGCTGAGGGGGGGGGGGGTTCCGAATGATTACGCTAGTGTAATTTTGACACAATAGCTATGTGTAAAACTGATTACGGAGGGGAGGGGGGGGTAAAAATGTTCCAAAAAATGATTACGTAATATGTGAACGACCCCTAACTAGACCGGAAGTAATGTGGTTTGAAAATAAACCACATACAAATTGAATATTCATATCCACATTGTAGCAGAATGTATTTAAAGTCTCCAGAGGAATGTATCTTTTACTCCTGCAGTAAATATCACAACATTGTTATTTAGCAATCTCGCCATCTTAGCCGGTTACTACAAACACTGCAGTATTATTAATTTACACTATTATTTCTCATGACTTAATTAAGCCTATTAAATTAAAAAGCATGCATGTTTGTAGCCAAACAGTAACATGGGTAAGTAGTAAATTCTGCGTGTCAAATAATACATTCATGAATAAAATGAGAATCATAATAGTATTGAGCGTAATCCAGTAAACCCCACTCCAGCAGCAAATGTCACGTGTTGTTATGCACAGCACATAGTCGTCACGTGTCATGTCACGTGTAGGTATTGACATTGGAACCACCTCTATAAAATGCTGCTTCCTCTCCAACCCCTCTTCTTCTCCCTCTACAATCTTACACACCAAACAAGTCCACACTGCTGATATAATCTCCAGTGACAACAAACACGAGCAATGTGCGCAGCGCATTCTGAGTGCAGTACGCACTGCGCTTGTTGCACTTGCTGAAAAGAGCGGTGCGCTCATTCTAAACGTAAACACAGTGTCAGTGTGCTGCCAAATGCACGGTGTCATGTTGTGGAATGATGAGCACGACACAACTACCCTGGTCACGTGGCAGGACCACCGATGTTCTGACGACTTTCTCAGAGAGATCAGGAGCTATTCTGAGTTTAGTGATGATCTGCACGCGGGGTATGGTAGCGCTACTCTAGCTTGGCTTGCACGGAACACACCCTCCGAACTGAAGAAGTATAAACACTGTGGGACTGTAGCAGATTACTTAGTGTTCGTGCTGTGTGGTTTAAGGGAGGGTGTTATCAGCGATCATAATGCTCAGAGTTGGGGGTTATTTAATGACAAAACAAGAAACTGGGACAACAGAGCTTTAAATACAGCCGGGGTTACAATAAACTTACCCAAAATAGTGAACAATGGAAACATAATAGGTTGTGTTGTCAACGAAAAGTTCAGCATCCAAAAAGGAGCCCAAGTTTTCATTCCCGTTGGTGACCTACAAGCTTCAGCGTATTCAGTACTAGGAGCGAGTTCAGGGCGAGTTTTCAACTACGGTACAGCTTCTCAAATAGTTCACACTACAAAATGTGATGATTTTGGGGATCTACCAGTCTCGGTTCGTCGTACATTGTACACGGATAAATATAACTTGGTAACTGCTGCGTCACTTAACGGAGGGAACTCAATGGAGATAGTTTTTAAACTGTTCTCCTCACTAACCGCTGATCTTCATTACGACACTGTTATGGAGTTAGCCTACGAGAAAAGAAACACAGATTTAAGGGTTTGTCCCGTCTTTTTTGGGGAACGTCACGATACGGGCACATTTGGTAGTTTTTCAAATGTGACTTCAGATAATTTTACAGTTGGAGACATTAGTGCTGCTGTTTTACGAGGAGTTGTAGAGAATTTGTGTGAAATGATGGGTGGTGTCCAGACTAACTTTGATACTTTGTATGCTGTTGGAATAGCGGAGAGGCCGATCTTGCAGCATTATTTGAGAGAAGTTATGGGGGATTTTGTGCTCTTTGATAAAGATGTTACTGCGGCTTATGGTGCTATTCTATTTGATTTAGATAATATGAAGTGAATATTCCATATTATAGTGATATTATATAGTTAAACTTGATTTTTTTTAATCGTCTCTGCTAAATCCGTAATAAGGGGTCGTTCACACACATATTACGTAATCATTTTTTGGAACATTTTTACCCCCCCCCCCCCTCCGTAATCAGTTTTACACATAGCTATTGTGTCAAAATTACACTAGCGTAATCATTCGGAACCCCCCCCCCCCCCACTCAGCTGATTACGTAATATGTGAACGACCCCCTATAATGAGATCTTTCACATTTTATGAGAATCAGATGCAAATGATCCAGAGTTAAACTTATCTCTAAATTTGAAAATGTCCTATCGGACTGATTATTCAATGGTCACTGGTAAATATTTCAGTAAAAACCGCGAAATTTCGGTCAAGTGGACGGCAGAAAAGCTTCTCTTCAAAAATCTTCCAAAATCTCTTTTTATATTCTGATGATTTTCCGTTTATCAAAGGTTTCTTTGGGAATAGAACTTTGAGTACCTCAATCGTGTCTTGTGCCATCCTCAGTGATCTGCTGCTTGATGGCCATACTACGGTGTTGCAACTTGCAAGCAACCTAACAAGCTGTAAGATTGGGCAATTGCTGACGTGGTATACCGCCTTTATTGTATGGAAGGCGCGTCGCTAAACGCTATTTTGTTAATCGTCTGAGCGCGTCACGTACGTACCTACGCGAGCGCATCGGTTGCAAGGTGTGTGCCCACAAATATGCATACCTTAGGTGTAAAAAATTTCGTCGCGAAAAAAACTATTCCGAAATATTTCGTCCGAAAAATTTCGTCAATTGCTCACAAAACTTTTCGTCTGCGAAATATTTCGTCCTATTTTTGTCAAATTTAGACATTTAGGAAACCAATAAAACATATATTTCAAAATAAATTAATCAAAAATTACTTCTAAATCAGAACAGTCGGAGCTACTTATATCGTCAGAAATTTGGTAGTAGACAACCTTATCAACTTTGTCCGGGGAATTTCTGACTACTCCTTCATTAATAGCTTTGTCCAAAGAACTGCTCACTGCTTCTGCTCCTGATACTGTAGCGTTGTTGGAAGAATTGCTGTCTACCTTCGCTCCTGCCTCCATTTCATCAGCTTTATCCGAAGAGTTGTTTGCTGCGTCCTCTTCTACTCCAACAATTCTAACAGGTGTTTTATAGTTGCTCTCTATGTGATCTTTAAGCCTCTCGAGTACTGCGAATTTTTTCGCCCCAGAGATTCTGAACGACGCATTCAGTAGTATTTCAAGACCTTTCAAGGCTGTCAAACTTTTATGTAATTTAACATCATAAACAGAGACATCGACTTTCCCGCCTAACTTTATGAAGAAATGAACATGCCTGCTTATTTCTCTCGGAAGGTGTCCCACCACTTCTCCAGCTGCTGATTTATCTTTCGTGTTATTGATCTTAATAACAGCTACCGCAAAAGGGTCGTCATTGTTATCTTTATCCAGTTGAACTTTGAGCTTGTCGCTAAGATCCGGCTTCGGCCATGTCGATTTCATGTAAACATGAAAGCCACGACTGGCTATAACAGTTTTAAAAACAGCTTCTACTGACACGAACTTGAACGTAAACAATTGCTAGTGTGAAAAGCAGTGGCGTAACGAAAGGCCCTGCTGACCCCGCTGTGCAGGGGGGCGCCGTCTTAGGGGGGCGCCAAATCGTCGTTTGAATGTGGGACAATTTCGAAAACTTAACTAAAGTACTAGCAAAACTGCGCGTTTTGCTCTAGATACACACTTTTTTAGAGATTTTACCGGCGTATTCTTTAAAATCACCTAATTTGTTCAATTTTAGGGAGGGGCACCAAAAGGGGAGGGGGCGCCCACAGGGGGGCGCCTTTTCGGCAGGGGGCGCCAACAGGCAACGTTACGCCACTGGTGAAAAGGCGGAATTGTGAGCTCCGGTTAATTAGGAAGAAGCCAGTACTCGCATAGAAATCAGATTACAGAAATCTTATATTAGTCTCATTTGTACGTACATTTTTATTTGGAACCTGGCCATTAAGCTTGATCATGCAGCTTCACACTTTCTCTGGAATTTTAGCGTTTTTTATGCAGACAAAAGTCTCAGCAATGATCCCTGATCTCAAACATCAAGACGGGTATCTCAATCACGTTCACAAATATCTTGGATTGTAAAAGAAAGTATCGAATCGGGCTCCCTTCTCTTTGAGTGTAGTTCTACCCTTGTTCTGTTGTATACGTTGGTGTGCAGTTGCAGGAAACATCACAGTTTGTAACCGCTGCAGTATGTCTTCGATGCCACGAACCGATATTCGTCACTTCTTCGGTGTCCCTGTAAACCTGGATTCGAATGATTTACCTGCAAATACACCCCAGTTCGTAGCCGCTGTAAACAAGGAAATAGCGAAAGCTGAGCAGAAAGGAAAGTATAACAAGTGGACGGCTAAAGATAGAGCAGATATAGGAAACTACGCGAGGGTACATGGTGCTGTTGCCGCAGCGAAGCACTTTAAGAAGCAACATCCCAGCTTAACCCGTCAGACTGCTCAGACCTTCAAGAAGTTGATGATCGACAAACTGAGCAGTATTGAGAGAGACCTGATTGTAAATGAATTAGAAACCAAGAAAAGAGGCCGTCCAACGCTCATTCCAGATACTGTAATTGATAAAGTGCTAGAGATCTTGGATGTCCTGCGGTTGCGAGGGGCCATCGTTAAAGGTTGTGTCATCAGAGGTGTTTTGAAAGGGGTTCTCAAACAACTACAGCCCAACTCTAATTACGAAGTGGCATACGAGTCCTCTAGGCAAATTCTCTATCATTATGAGAGGAGGAAGAAAGTCAAGCTCGTAAAAAGAGTAGCCACAACAGCCCGACTTCCTGTGCCAGAGGGTGTCTTATCCGAAGTAAAACTTTGCTTCCAGTGTGATATCAATAAAATCGTTAAAGAGCATAAAATCCCCGAAGATTTGATCATTAATCACGATCAAACACCGCTTAAGTACGTAAGCGTCAGCAGCAGAACCATGGCTCCGCGGGGATCATCAATAGTCCCGATAGCAGGAAGTTCAGACAAGCGTCAAATCACGGGAAATCTTGCGGTCACACTTTCGGGGAAGTTGTTGCCATTTCAACTTATTTATGAGGGAAAGACGAACCGCTGTCTGCCGAAAGGGGTTCAGTTTCCCACTGGCTTTCATCTGACTATGACTCCAAACCACTGGTCCAACGAGAACACTTCAAAAGATTACGTATTGAAGATACTGGCTCCTTATATCGAGAAGACGAAACAAGAGCTCGGATTGCCTCCTGAACAGAAGAGCCTAATAATATCGGACGTATTCAGGGGGCAGCAGACTCAGGAAGTGTTAACACTGTATGAATCTCTCAATATGATCGTCCAAAAGGTGCCTCCAAATTTGACGCATATTTTTCAACCATTGGACGTTTCGATTAATGGTTTAGTAAAGAGCCACATGAGAGACCAGTATGAGAAGTATTACGCGACCTGTATTACTACACAGCTAGCTGCTGGTATTAATCAGGACAACATTGACGTCGATACAAGGATTTCCAAGATAAAGAAGCTCCACGCAGAATGGATCATAGACACCTACAACTTTCTATCAACTAGAAAAGACGACATAATTAAAGGGTTTTCCAAAGCAGGAATAACCGATGCCGCCTCTGAAAACTTTGTCAGTGAACTGGATCCATTCGCGGATTTAATGTAGAATTAGATGGCGAGAAATGTTATGATATTAGTATTACGATATTATGATCATTTTGGTATGAAATGTTTCAATTCTTATACTGTATGAAATATGAATCATTCAAAATTAGATTATTAACTGAAGTTGAATTAATTCGTATGTACTCAATTTTAACTTTCAAAATTTAATGATGCAAAAAATACCAAAAAAGTAGGCGTCCCAAATATTTCGTCGTTAAAAAATTTCGTCGACGAAAAATTTAATGCCGGAAAATTTCGTCCGCGTTTTGAGTTTAGCTGAAATTTTTCGGCATTAAATTTTTTGCACCTAAGGTATTCCATATATTACTCAGTTGATTGAAGGCTCCGGAAGCTTTCTGAATCCTAGCTGACAGCTCACGGTCGATAGTACCGTCGCTGGAGATAATTGTACCTAAGTACGTAAAGTCACTAACTTGCTGCACTGGCGTGTCTTCAACAGTGATGTTCACTGTGGCTTCTTTCGTGTATGGCCGTTGAGAGGTTGCTTTACCAATGACCATAGCCTCAGTCTTTTTACCATTGATTCTGAGACCTCCCTGGGCACCATACATACACAAAAGGTCAGTTGTTTCTTGAAGACCTTCCTCGCTGTTATCCAGTACAGCCATGTCATCTGCAAAATCTATCAGTCAGATCTTGAAATATATTCCTGTGTTCCGCCGAGACCGCCAATTTGGAGATATTTTCTTGTGTTTGAAGTCATATCTCAAGTTTGGCACATAGAATTTCTCCAAAACTCTCACATATTATCTGCCATATAACCATGTAACTATCTCAAAAGTTTAAAGAAAATCTATTGGTCAGATCTTGAGAAAATTGAAAATATATTCTAAGTTATTCACTAAAACACTCGATTTTCGACCAATCCATATTATGTATTCTGGGTAAAATTATCTTTATACCGGTTGTTGCGACAAGTAAAAATGCTCTTATTAGGGAAAGGAGATTACTCGACGTTTCAATGTAACTACATCGTATTCATGATCTCAAATTATTTGTTATATAGTAGTGTTGAAAGTATTTTAATACTTTCAACACTACTATATAACAAATAATTTGAGATCATGAATACGATGTAGTTACATTGAAACGTCGAGTAATCTCCTTTCCCTAATAAGAGCATTTTTACTTGTCGCAACAACCGGGATAAAGATAATTTTACCCAGAATACATTACAACAATGCGACTCATAAATAATACTCCAATCCGGATTTTACAATCCATATTATGGTACAGTTTTGTCGTGTTTGAAGTCATATATCAA